CACATAAACCTTAGCCAATTGTTCAGCATTATAATTTATTCTTACTGGGATAAAATAGGCTGACTTAGTGATCTTAGGCATATTTATATGCCTAGAAATCTAATAATGCTCATATTTAAGCTAAGTTTGAATTCAATATGTGCTTGTTTATAGTATTATCGAGTCTTTTGTTTGTTTATGAGCTAACCAACATGATTAGTCGTGTAGGTGAGCTTAATTGGAGAAACGAGCACGAAAATGGGCAATGGGGAACACAAGAGAGCCAAGTCAAAAAGAAGCAAGGAAGAAGAGTGAAGAAATATCATTCGAGGCATCTTCGTATCCTCTCCGCGTCGGGGAGAAGAATGTTAGTTCTGTTCGTGAAAAGTCGAATTGAGGCAGAGTCCTCCGTGTAGCAGACGTGTCGTGGATGAGTGTATTTTCTCTCAAATAGAATTATGAGGGTGACTTCGCATCGCGGAGAGGGTGTACATTTTAATTAGCAAGAATTGACTTTGAGGCAGAACACTCCGTGGAGTGCCCGGGTCGCATAGAAAAGGAAATTGGCTCAGAACGGAATAAGAGGGTGCCTTCGTGACGCGCCTCTGAGTCCCAGTTTTGGCCGTTTCTTATTTTAGTATAAATAGGTAATTATTTTATTTTATTAATGATTCTTTTTCTAGGTTTTGAAGAACGACGACTTGGAATAACGTTTTCACCATTTTTAGGGTTCTTTCCTAAACTCTTTCCCTTTCGATCTCTTTATGTTTATTGAACATTACTTGATCGTATCTTGGATTATGAGTAACTAAATACCCTATTTCTAGGGTTGTGGCTATAGGATGATTGTAATCTATTACGTTTTCATTGGGTTAATGTCAATTATCATATGAATCTTTCTTATGTTCTTGCTTTTCGTATTTCGTGATTGATTACCATTAAAATAAATACATTGTCCAAATTGAACTCGAGAGAGGAATAAGAAGATAGAACGTGGGACATAAGGAGCATGATTAATTCTAAATAACTAGGGTTAATTTGTATCTAGAAACCATGATTGGGTCACTATACAAAAAGAAATCGTAATGCTCGGTACTTAATCCATCCTATCCCCGCTCAACGATGTAGTTAGGGTGTTATTTATCGTAGGCGATTAGAAGTCGGGAGATCATGATCATACATTTAACCCTGTGATTCATTAATTCGATAGTTGATAAACACTCATATAAATGATATTGATTGCATGAATCTTGATAAAAGCTACAACCCTGGACTTTACCCAATCATTGTTTTTAAACCCTCGAAATTGAATCGCGTTTGTTACATTTTGTTGAATTCTTAGAATTGAAAACTAAATCACTTTCGAAATCTTGATAACACTTGTGCTTAGCTGAAAGTTAGAGAAATTGAGTGATTCTAAGCATAAGTCCTTGTAGGTACGCTACCCGACTCATTTTAAGAGCCACTTTAATACTTGAACTACCACGTGCACTTGCGTGTGCGATTTGGACGCAACACTTAGTCAATCTATCAACAGCTACCCAAATAGAATCAAACTTCCTCAAGGACTTGGGAACACCAACCACGAAATCCATGGCTATCATTTCCCACTTCCATTCCGGAATTGGCATTCTCTGAAACAAACAGACAGGCCTTTGATGTTCATAGTTTACTTGTTGGCAATTTTGACACTTAGCCACAAACTCGACTACATCTTTCTTCATGCCCGACCACCAAAAAATTTGCTTCAAATCTCGGTACATTTTGGTCACACCCGGATGAATAGAATATCGCGAACCATGGGATTTTGTCAACAATTTCTGAATCAAGTAATCAACTCGAAGAACACAAATACTTCCTTTAAAACTGAGCACACCTTCCACATCAAGAATGGTCTCTTGTGCCTTACTAATCACAATCTTCTTCTTGAGTTCATTTAAATTTTCATTCTCAAATTGTTTGTCCTTGATCTCCTCAATGAACATGGCCCTTACTTCAATGTTATATAACACCCCACATTTCTCTAAGATGCCCAACTGCATGAACTTAGACTCCAAGGTTTGGATTTCCTTAGCCAAAGTTCGCTTGGATGGACTCAAGCAAGCTAAACTACCCATACTCACCGCTTTTCGACTTAGTGCATCTGCCACTACATTAGCCTTACCCGGATGATATTGGATGGTCACATCATAATCCTTGAGTAACTCTATCCACCTTCGTTGTCTCAAATTCAAATTCTTTTGAGTGAACACATGCTGCAAACTACGATGATCAGTAAACACCTCACACTTAACACCATAAAGATAATGACACCAGATCTTAAAAGCAAACACTACCACTGCCAACTCTAAATCATGTGTTGGGTAATTCTTCTCATGCACCTTTAATTGACGCCACACATAAGCTATAACATTCTTATCATGCATCAACACAGCACCCAAACCAGAATGCGAAGCATCACAATAAACTATAAAATCTTTACCTTCCACCGGTAGTGCTAGAATAGGTGCGGTGGTCAATAGAGTCTTGAGCTTTTGGAAGCTCTTCTCACATTTTTCAGTCCATTCAAATAGTTTCTCCTTTTTGGTCAAATTTGTCAAATGTGTGGCAATAGAAGCAAAATTCTTCACAAATCGACGATAATAGTTGGCAATCCCCACAAAACTCCTAATTTCAGTCACAGAACTTGGTCGAGCCCAATTTCTAACCGATTTGATCTTTTGGTGATCTACCATTACCCCTTCCTTCGAAACCACATGCCCTAAAAAGGCAACCGAAGTGAACCAAAATTCGCAGTTAAATTTTTTTGTAAACAACCTTTGTTTCCCAAGAACACCAAGAACAATACGAAGATGGTCGACATGTTCTTCCTCACTTTTCGAATAGGCCAAAATATCATCAATAAAGACTATAACAAACAAGTCAAGAAATGGCTTGAACACCCCATTCATCAAACTCATGAAAGCTGCAGGCGCATTAGTCAAACCAAAAGACATAGTTAGGAACTCATAGTGCCTATAGCGGGTTCTAAACGCCGTCTTGGGCACATCTTCAGGCCTAATTTTCAATTGATGGTAACCAGACCTTAGATCAATTTTAGAGAAAACTAATGCCCCTTGCATTGGTCAAAAAGATCGTCTATTCGAGGCAGTGGATATTTGTTCCGAATGGTGACCCTATTAAATTGCCGGTAATCTGTACACATCCTCATACTACCATCATTTTTCTTAACAAACAAAATCGGGGCACCCCACGAATAAATCATTTATCAAGAAGTTCTTGGATTTGAGTCTTAAGCTCTCTTAATTCTGTCGGAGTCATACGATATGGAGGGATTGAAATGGGGCTGGTACCAGGTTCCAAATCAATGCAGAAATTTATATCTCTATCAGGAGGCATACCAGGCAAATCAGTAGGAAACACTTCTCTAAATTCTGACACTGCATGGATAGACTCAATAGAGGGAGACTCAACTTCAATATCCCGAATGTGAGTCAAATAAGACAAACAACCCTGCTCTACCAGTTTCCTAGCCCGAATGGAGGATATGATCTTAGCTTGCTTAGGCTTGTACACCCCTTCCCACTCTAACTTTTCCCTACCGGAGATCTCTAGAGTTACAGACTTAGTATTACAATTTAACACCTCATAATAGGGGGACAACCAAGTCATTTCTAAGATTATATCAAAGTCGGTAATATCCAAAATCACCAAATCAGCCCAAGTCTGAAAACCCATAAACAAAATAGGACAAGCACGATAGACATAGGTGACTATGACCGACTATCCAACTGGGGTAAAAACATAGATGGAAGGATCAAGTATATCACAAATCATATTAAATTCTGAGTCAAATCGCATGGACACATAAGAATAACTAGAACCCGGATCAAATAACACATTAGTCATCCGGTCACAGACAAGAATAGTACATGTGATCACAGCGTCAGACGCCTCTACCTCGGTCTTTCCTGGAAAGGCATAAAACTAAGCCCTATCATCGTGACAGGCGACTTCATGCACTGTACCTCTACCTATGTTACCATTTCCTCTACCCTCATGGCCTCGCTGATTACCTACTCGCCCACCTTGTGGACGTCCTCAACTATTATTATCATTTCCTACGGGTACCACTACTCTAGACTGCTGTTGCGCAAAATCCATCATGCGCGATTGGGGATAATCTCTCCTCATATTCCTGGGTTCTCCACAGTTATAGCAAGTACGATTAAAATATAGCTTGCTGCCCGTCAAAGGTGCAGCTCCCTGGCTATCCTGAATCTAAATTTGAGGTGGAGTTCCGGAGTAATTACCTGTAGAAACGGGCATAGCGGACTGAATTGGTCGGGCTGCAAGAGTCGGCCTCCCTAAACCTCTGGAGTAGGAACCCTGAAAGTTACCTAAATTCTTGGCTTTCTTAGCCAATGCCTTAGCCTGACCATCTCGCCTCACCCCCTCCACTTTCTTCACAAAATCTGTCACTTCATTAAAACTTTTTCCTGCAGAGATCATATGAATAGACAATACATGTAACTTAGAATTCAGTCCCCTAACAAACAGATGAATCCTCTCCTCCTCATTAGTCACCAATTGAGTAGAATATCTAGACAAAGCATGAAAGTTAGCCTTATAAACATCCACAATCATCCCACCTTGCTCCAAAGTCATGAACTCATCCTTCTTACGATCTCTCAAGGTCCAGGGCACATATTTTTCTAAGAACAGAGCATGAAACTGAGTCCAAGAGAGTGGGGGTAAAGTTGAAGATATGCATTCCACATAGGCTCTCCACAGCTACTTGGCCTCACCTTGAAGCTAAAAAGACACAAACTTCACGCCATGCTGATGGATAATTCCCAACTTATGAAGCTTCTCATAACAATCCAAAATGAACTCATAAGCATCCTCACTCTCAGAACCAAGAAATACACAAGGCTTTAGCTTCAAAAACTTAGTCAATATTTCATGCTCATTACCAGTCATAACAGTACCCAACAAAGGACGAAAGAAAACATCAGTACCTCTAGTTTCACCCACCTTGGGGGATGTGCTAGCAATAGGGGGATGGACGGGAGCCTGAGCTTCTTGAACAGAGGGAAGCACTCCAAGACCAACCAATTCCTTCAAGAACGACATGATCTATTGAGCTAATATTGGGTCTAAGGGAGGGATACTTGTAGTCTCAGTCTGCACCTCTTTCTCTTATCCAACATACTCTTCATTCTCAACCTCAACATTCTCTTCTATCTCTTCATGATGCGCATGAGGGTTCTCATTCCTGGGAGCATTCTCAACAGGAGCTCCATCCCTAGTAGGTGCTACTTTTCTTCGACCTCTACCTTTAGCTCTTTCTATACCCCTGCCTTGACTGCGACCTCTTGCTGTAGATTCATCAGCTGGAGCGTTGACGGGGACTACGGACCTGACACCATTGAATCTAGTCTTAACCATCCGCAGACAGAATAGTGAAGGAGGTTAGATATCAATTTGAATCGCCAGATACCAATTGGAATCAAGTCATAGCACGAAAGGAGACAAGATAAAACAAAGAGATTTCCTAAAGTCCTATAGTCTCTCAAAGAAAAAATGCAGACGTCTCTGTACCATTCCGCAAGACTTTACTAGACTCGTTTTGGTACATCGAGATCAACAAACCTAGGCTTTGATACCAACTTTGTCACGATTCAGACCGTCGTGATTAGCACCCACACTAACCCTACGATAGGAGAACCATTAATACTAATTAGCTAACCAACTCAATCAAAATACTAAAGCATTTACGGTTACAGAAACAAGTTTAAATGCTAAGGAAAGAAATAGAGTTTCCATAAACTCCAACGAAAGTTTAACAACTTAAAACAAATGCAAAAATACTACCTAGAATCTGAAAGTCAACGTACCAAAACTCTAACAATGAACCATAGTCTAAAGAAATGGGTACAACCCAAACTAAATAAGAGAAATTTAAAGAACTAGTCTAAGTCCGAAAAGATGGACTAAACAAAAGAGAACTCAAGGCAGCCCGGAAGAACTAGCTCACCCTTGAATTCGATCGGCAATCACTGATCTTCTAGACGAGGTCTGTCAATAGCCGCCTAAAGATGTCATGTACTCAATAAAAATAAGAGCAAGTGCAGTATCTGTACACAACCACATTGTACTAGTAGGATCACGTGGCTATCCCACTAAGTGTAACATAAGCAAGTCAATACAACATTAAAAACATGCAAATACCGAACATGTACAATATCGATTTATCACATACTTAACAATACACATTTACAACAAGTCATTGGTCCTCTCATGGAACCCAAAGTCAAAAAGTTAGTATATCGATACGTGGTACCCGACCCAGTGTTTATGCCAGAACGTGGCAACCGATCCCATATTTATGACGGAACATGGCAACCGATCCCAATTAGTGTGTCGGAACGCAACACCCGATCCATTCAACAAGTCACAATCTCAATCCCACGTATATTCTCAAAATCATACAATCAAGTCATGATTCATGGCATACTATGGTTCATCTATCCTCATTTACAATTAGTGTGATCAATAATGCAATATTTGCATACCTACATGCATCATAATGAAGCAAGAACAAACATATATCACACAATCATGAAATCACAATCATCACCTACCTCAAACAAAGCTTGAATCCCCTAAGAAACTTGATTCTTCCCTTTTTGGATTCGTTCCGCTTGTTCTTGGGCTACAAACAATAATTATATCACGAAAATTAATAAACAATAACTAATTACCCGAATTACAAACAATCCTATCAACCCTAAATCAAATTCATGATCCCAATATCCAAATTAGGGATGTTTCCACCATAACTTCCAGAACAAAACCCTCTCCCATAGATAATTACCTATTAGATTAAGTTCTACGGATCAAAAAATGGATTCGGGGAGTGAAAACCTTACTTTTAGCCTCAAGAATGGTGGAAAAATGTCAAGAAGACTCCGGGGTTCGTTCCTCAACTCCCAAGTTTGAAAATTTCAGAATAAAACATTTTTGGGGTTTATTTCCGACTTTAAGTCGCGTCTGTCCCGCCACAGCGACCTCACCCCGCTACAGCAGCCCCGCATTGGCGGTAGAAAATACCGCTATAGAGGCTTGCACGGAACAGTGAGAAAAATTAATAATTCAAATACCTCCATTTCACAACACACCTTCAACCAACGACACTCAGAAACTACTTTTTCACACCAAGATCTGTTTCGGGAGTTCTACTCACCCGAATTCAATTCCGTAAAGTCGTACGAGTTCCTTAACGTCTTGGCTATCTACTCATGTAATTAAAATTATAATTAAATCACCCAATTTATACTAGATTTCCCTAGACCTTATGACTCCGATTTCGTCTAAATCTGGACTAGGTTGAAAAATCCTAAGTTACTACGAAAAAGTTTTTCGATCCAAAATTTTTCCATGATGGCTTTTCTATAATGAGGAGAACCGGTCGTTTCATGAATGAATAGGCTTTTTGAAGTAAATTAATAAATGGGGTCATGTTTTAACTTTGCAATGATTTCCTTTACTCCTCCCAAAGTGTTGGTACACGTGTGGCTATTAAAATCCACAACTTAATGGTAGATATATTGGGATTTACATATATTTTTGCTGGTTTTTCTGGAAAGTTCAATACTCTTAGGGGTCGTTTGGTGTGAGAGATAAAAATAAATAGGGATGGGATAAAATTTGTGTATCTTGTTTGGTTGCCATGTTTGGGATCCCATAACTTATTCCACCATTTATATCATAGTGATGGGATAAGTTAACACATATACATGCTGGGATAAGTTATCCCAGAATAGTTAACCCCAGGATAACTAATCCTGGGATAACTTGTTCCCAACTAAACGATCACTTAATGCACAATGTACACTTAAACTAAGCTTGGAAATTTCTAATTTGACGAAACTACCCTTGGTCGTCCAGTGCTTCACATTTCTATATAATAGAAATATATATATAGGTCTTTTCTCTTACAACAATAAACTTTGTGGAAAAGAAATAGAAAAAAGATTTAGGAATTTTTTTGGGTGGGGCTTTTGAGTGGAGCGGATGGGTTTGGTCTTTTTAATTATTTTATTTGATTGTTATGGTAGTCAATACGATAGTGACACGTCATTAATAAAATTGATGTTATGATTTAGTTTGTTAAAGACGAGGGCAAAATAGAGCCAAAAGATTGATGTCAAGGGCATTTTAGGCCCGAAAGATAGAAAATGGGGAATTTTGTACCAATTCGCGTAGTTAAGGGGTAATTTAGGCCCTTTTCCATACATACGTATTTGATTTTCTTTACTCATTTGTTTTCACTTAATGAATGTCTAAATTTAAATAGTTCAAACATTAGACCATTAAGTCCATTTCTTTTCACTAAGATTTAAAGCATTTGGTCTAAATAGTAATCAATAAGATCTAGAACATAGTCTTAATATCAATAAAAGGTATTCTTGTGTGGATAATATTCACCATCACTCTATCATAATCACCAGCCACCACCACTAATCACCTCTTCCATCACCACTATCACCACCACTAACCACCTCTTCTACCACCACCACCACCACTACCGTCGTCTACCACCAGCCACATCTTTCATCACAATCACCACCATCACTGTGAACCACCATTCCGTCGTTTACTACCAACCACATCTTCCATCACAACCACCATTATTGCTAATCACTTATGTCAGTTTCTACCACACTTATCTCCTTCATCATTATAATTATATCAATTGTCACCACCATCTCATCTTTGTAGTTGCCAACACCTTCACCACCACTACAGTCAATTCCTACTACTGACAAACTCCGTCATCACAACAAGCACCGTCGCCAACTACCATCATACATTTTTCTGTCACCACCACCATTACTATTAGCCACTATCGGCAATCACTGTGGTCAATAGCTACTATCAACAACCTTCATCATCATAACTAGCACCGCCACCAACTACAACAAACACATTATCAACCATGCATCACACATTCTTCAGTCACCACCATCAACACCACCAACTACTAACATCAATCAACTTCACCATTATAATTACTATCAACAGTACCATTACCAATCACCACCAGTATGACAGTCACCACACTACCAACCACCTCCACCGTCACAATTATCACCACCATCCTTCCTAGACACTAACAACAACTATTACCATCACTACTACCACTACAAATTATCTCCACCATCACTATACCAAACATAAAAGTTTCATTTGTTTTAATCAAATAATAATTTTATTTTACTAATTTTTTAAATATTTTATTAATTTTTATTTGAATTATGCATATAAATAAATTATATACATTCATATGTTAAAAAAAATAAACCATTTTAATCATTCAGTGTTCAAATCTGAAGACAACATCTTAATCAGTTAATAAATGTCTGGAATCTTGGGTTACTAATTGGTGGAATACTGGGCAATCCCAAATTGTCTTGAATAATATTCAAGAAAGACATTAAGACAACCTTTGAAAAAGTTGGAATGAGATATTCCATCCCTTTCAATTCACGTGAATCTATTTAACTAGATATTGAGTTTAAGAAAAAGAATGAAAATATTTGAATTTATAGTCTTAAAATAAGCCACGCACAATATTGATGTATCTATAAAAGTTTTTCATCAAGGTAAAATGAAAAATCTCAAGTTATCTTATTTGTACATCATGTGAATTAAGTTCATTACTTGTAAAATCTAGATGTCAACTCTCATCTCTGCTCAATGTATGTATTACAAAAGCATACATTCAGGTTCTGGGCACAAATTAAAGAAATTAGAACCTTTTGTCTTCATAGGTCCCCTTTCTTGTACCCGTCTGCTTTGTTTGTAATTTTTCTTTGGAGGTTGTGGTTTATGTCTCCCTCTTTTATTTGTAATTAATTTTTATACTATTTAATTAATGAGGTAGGGATCTATCACAGGAGGTGAAAGCTTTAAAAAAAACTATCAAACGCACATGCAAATATACACGATGGTCCAAATAATAAGTGATAAGATTTTAGTGTCGAACTTATAGGGACTTGTGAGTAACTATTTATTAAATGAAACGAACCTAATCAGTGTTTTTAAAAACGCTTTTTAGGTGAGTCATACCAAAAACGCTTCGGGACACAAATTGCAGGACTTGAACACACAAACTTAAGAAAATTTCGCAACTCATTAACCACTAGACTAAACTTTCAACTTGTGTGAAGAAGTGTCAATATTTATATATATGTATATGTTAAATAAAAAAATGACCTTTATATACCGTGTAATTTTCTGACAAAGTGGTGTCGCTTAACACGTGTCGCCTAGGGTCCTCCCCCGGTGTCACAGCAGTGCTGGTACACTTTTCGAGGTGCTTTTCAGTGCGCCACCTGCCTGATTTGGACTCATGGCACGCCCTAAAACGCTTCAAAATTCTACCAAGTGTTGAATGTGACCCCATGGCAATGCGTGATCACATGTTGGCCCATATTTGGTGGATTCTTGATACTCTAATTTAGCTTCAAATATGTCGAAACTCAATCATCAAGATACACCAAGTTGCATAAATACCTAATATTATCTTACCTCAAATATGAGCTATAAGATAAATTTAAAATAAAAACAATGAAATAAGGCTCTATAGCTAGATTTGAACCAAAATCTCACAGGTGGTTTCTCTGATTTATACGATCAGCACAATGACACTCCTATGCTCCTCATGAGTTCACTTTTAATTATATTCTAATTTCACATGAATTTGTTGAAGAGTCCGAGCAACATAACAAAGTAGAATAATCATATATTTAAGGTAGTAATTGTTTTTCTCTTTCTATTGAAACAAATTTACGAGTAGATATTGTATAAGTATGTATATTATATGTATAAAACATGTATATCTAATTTAAATTATATATACTCTGTACCCATTATGTAAACTAGATGCTTTAGGCCGTAATTATCCTGATATATAAGTGAAAGGGATACTTACTTATAAGTTATATGTACTGTCCAAACAAACAATTTACAATAAGGATATCCCAACAATTTTTTACACTTAGAAGGACCAATAACATATGTTCACATTTTTGTGGTGTCGATTAAGATTTTCCCATTTCTTTTTTTCCAACCATGAATTAAAACTAACATTTCACAAAAACAAATTATTCAAAAGTTCAAATCAATATGGATGTGTTGTTGCATGTTCTATGGAGGAGTAATTAAGGGGATCTATTGAATAAATTTGGAAAAATTACGCGGTTAAGCAAACTTATACTACTTAATTGTTCATCATAGCTATAGTTTGCCATAATTACCACTCGCGACTAACATTATACATTAATTACGTGGGCTGACTTCGAGTTTGTATAATTAGCCACGTTTGTATATGTATAATTCGCCAGAATACACAAATACATATGTATAATATACAATAATCTAACCTATATACATATACAATTCACCTTTCTCCCACTCTTTGCCCCCT